TAAATTATTGTTTTATTTAAAAAATACTAAATACAATTTAATTTTCCAGGCAAATTTGCCTGGAATACAGTTTAAGGAATAATAAAAATAATTTATTTAAATTTTGTAAAATTTTAATAAAGGGCATTGATTTTATAAGAAAATAGTATATAAAATCATAAAAAATAATCTACATAAATTCTATCCTTAATATGAAACACTTAATGTTACAGATCATGATTAACAGTTTATATTTATGGCTTTAACAGTGATTATATTAATGATTTTAACAGTGGTCAGTTGTGATTCAACCTGTAAAACACAATGCTAGCTAGTTAGGTTTGTAATTTCAACAGTGATTGATTCATGATTTCAAGAATGGTTTGATTCGTAACTTTAGTAGCAGTTTGATAAGTGATTCCAATGATGGATATGTTCATAACTCCAACAGTAATTTGATTCACGACTCCACCAGAGACTCCAACAGTAGTTAGGTTCATGACTTTGATGGTTAGGTTGATGACTTTAATAGTATTAAGTTCATGATTTCAATGTTTAGATTGGTAACATCAATAGTAGTGAAGTTCATGACTTTTAATGATATTAAATTAATAATATCAATAATAGTTAGGATTTAAACAATAGGTATGTTCATAATTATAATAATGAGTGAGTTCATGACTCGAAAAGCATAGGTGCGCTTTGGTTATGTGATTGAAAGAATTCTGGACAGCCAAAGGTGCTGAAAATAAATTCAATTAAAGAACTTTAAGTCTGCAAAATACATTGAATTGGTAATTTTAAGTAAATAGTGATTTTAAGTAATTTGAACTGAAACGATGATATGCTCCTGGAAGATTAGCAAATGAAATTGTGCCAGGTATCATCGTAACAGTAGAGCGAGTAAGAAGCAGTATCAGTCGGTAGTTTCCCGCCTGCTTGAAGCAGGCCAGCTGTTAAATAGGAAAATGGCAGAATCAGGAGACTACAATGTGGCAGGAAGGGATAAGTTGAGAAATGCTAACTATATGTATTGGATGTTTGATAAGGGAAGAGTGCGTAAATAGGCTCTTTTTCTCTCAACCTTTATATAAGCTTTTCAGTGGCTTGGGTTACATAGCATGTTCTAGTGATCTGGCGTTAATTGTATCTCGTATTGGTTGTTGGTGGAGTAGGAGTTGCGACACATGATGTAGGACCCTTGCAAAATGCTCCCTGTCTTTTCAATCTGTTAACTCTCGTTATACATGTGACTAAAATGCTTAAACTTTCGAACTCAATATCGATTTTGATTTCGATTAATTTTTGATTTATTATTATATTTTTCGAAATCGAAATTTTGATCGAAAGTTAAAAATTTAAATTATAATTACGAAATAAATCTATCATTATTATGAAATAAAAATCTTTTTTTTAATTCTCTAATAATGATATGCACTTTTCACAGTGAAATTTTATAGAATTCTCTAATAATTACACTTTTTACAGTGAAATTTTATAGAATTCTCTAATAATTACGATTTTTACAGGGAAATTTTATAGAATGCTCTAATAATTATGTTTTTCACAGTGAAGCTTTATAGAATTCATTAATTAATTAATTCACAATAAATTTATGGCATCATTATTGTAATTAATTAAAATTTTTAATAAATTATAAAAAATTTAAATTTTTTACTATATTTTATAAACCTAATCGCTTGGTCAACCAAATGTTAGTTCTATACCAATAAACAATGTCGTCTATTAAAAATTCTTTAAATACAAGCAAAAAAGTATGTGGTCATCCTCCTGATGAAATATGGAACAAATTTACTAAAAGAGATGAAATTTATAAAGGATATTATATTGCGATATGTAATTATTGTTCTGAAACATAGTCTTCTGGCAGACCTAAAGATCTTAAAAAACATCTTGCATATGAGTGTCAAAATATTGATTCTGAAACCAGGATTGAAATTTTAACTTTATTAACACATGGTTTAGACTCTGATGATGAAATGTCAATCGCTAAATCTAAAAAAAAACGAAGGTTACCAAGCAATATAGATAAACCTTGTGAAAACATCTCTACTTCCTTAGACAAAGCAGATCAGATTAATAAAGCATTAGTAAAATTAGTTTCTTGTTGCAATATACCATTTGCT